AGCAGCAGCAGCAGCAGCAGCAGCAGCAGCAGCAGCAGCAGCAGCAGCAGCAGCAGCAGCCTTTCCTTTTGCCTGAACTGGGCGAAGAAGTGCGCAGCACAGCCCTCGAGGCCTCGAGCATCGTTTTGTTTGCTGCGTTTTGTCTCCAGCAGCAAATCCATTAATTGAAAGTCAAAGACTGCTGCTTTGTCTCCGCAGCGCCCGCTGGCTGGCAGCAGCACGCGCAGCAGCGCGCCTCCTGCAGCAGCAGCAGCAGCTGCTGCTGCTGCTGCGGGGCCCCCCGAGCTGCTGCTGCTGCTGCTGCCGTTGCTGCTGCTGTGGCCGCCACGGCGACACAGCTGCAGGATTAAAGCGTCAAAGGAAGGCCAGAAAGTTAGCTGCACACAACGCGCAAAGCACCTGCTGCTGCTGCTGCTGCTAGTGCTGCTGCTGCTGCTGCTAGTGCTGCTGCTGCTGCTGCTGCTAGTGCTGCTGCTGCTAGTGCTGCTGCTGCTAGTGCAGCTGCTGCTGCTGAGATCGAAACCTAGCATTTGCTTCTTACGCGCTGGAGAGCATGCTGGGGGGCCAGCCGAACGACACTCAGAAGAGGGTTTAAAGGGTCTGCTGCTGCTGTTGCTGCTGCTGCTGCTGCTGCTGCTGCTGTTGCGGTTGCTGCCTGCTGCTCCAGCTCCGGCAGAGCAGGAAAAAGAAGCCGAAACCAATCCAGCAGCAGCACGGGGCCGCCCTGCAGCAACTCGTCGCGGACACGCATGCAGGTAGGGCAGGGTGAAGGTGCAGCAGCAGCAGCAGCAGCAGCAGCAGCAGCAACAGCAGCAGCAGCAGCAGGCACAGCAGCAGGATCCTGATCTCCCCAGCTGCAGTAACCACCAAAGCTTCGATCAGCCAGAGCCCTTTAGCAACAGCAGCAGTCGCAGCAGCAGCAGTCGCAACCACAGCAGCAACAGCAGCAGCAGCAGCAGCAGCAGCAGCAGCAGCAGCAGCAGCAGCAGCAGCAGCAGCAGCAGGTACCTCAGATGGCGCCCAGGCCACGAGTTTGGTGCCGCAGGCCTCTCGGCCAAAAGCAGCAAAGCGAAGCGGCGGAGACCCTGTGAGCCGCAGCGCTGCCTGTGCACTCCAGCAGTACAGTTGCTGCTGCTGCTGCTGCTGCTGCTGCTGCTGCTGCTGCTGCTGCTGCTGCTGCTTCCCCCTCGGGCGCTGCTGCTGCTGCTGCTGCTGCCGGTAAGCCAGCCACGCAAGCCCCAAACCGCCCCCATGCAACTGCAGCAGCACATGGAGCCCGTGGCCGTCGCAGTGCACAGCCAAGAGGGTACTGGGGGCCCCCGGGGGCCCCCCAGCTGGGGGCCCCCTGGGGGCCCCTCTGAAGGGGGCCCCCAGCGCTGCAGCAGCAGCAGCAGGCAGCTTCGCCACAGCGGCCGTCCTAAAATCAACACTGCACACGACCCCGCTGCTGCTGCTGCTGCTGCTGCTGCCGCTGCTGCTGCTGCTGCTGCTGCTGCTGCTGCTGCTGCTGCTGCTGCTGCTGAGGCGCTGCAGCAGCAGCCGATCGTCATGCGTGTGCGTCACAACAATGAACCCCTGCTGCGCTGCATGCATTTGGCAGCAACCTGGGGAGCACGGGGCGGCCTCTGCTGCTGTTGCTGCTGCTGCTGCTGCTGCTGCTGCTGGCGGCTCCGGGCGCAGCAGCAGCGGCCTGTCAGTCTGCGGCAGGTGCTGCAGCAGCCGCCTGTAGTACCCCCGCAGCTGCAGCAGCGAAAGCTGCTGCCCCAGCAGCAGCCGCAGCGAGGAAGCAGCAGGCCGGGCCAGAGGAAGGGCCCCCCGCAGCAGCAAGGCTCGGGTCTCGGCCGCACTGGCGAAGCTGCTGCTGCTGCTGCTGCTGCTGCTGCTGCTGCTGCTGCTGCTGCTGCTGCTGGTCGCTGCAGCTGCTGGGGACACAGCTGATGGGGCACTTTCTGCTGCGGGCTTGGATGCGGCGGTAGCCGCGTCGCTCGACTGCTGCTGCTGCTGCTGCTGCTGCTGCTGTTGCTGCTGCTGCTGCTGCTGCTGCAACGCAGCAGCACCGCTGCAGCACGCAGCAGCAATGCGATCTGCAGCAGCAGCGGCTTCAATGTTTGCTGCCGTGCTGCGTCTCAGCAGCAGGCTTGCTGGATCCTCAGCAACAGCAGCAATTCCAGCAGCAGCAGCAGCAGCAGCAGCAGCGCCTAAGGGAGGCCACGACAGAAAGCGAAGGCCGCAACCCCACAGCTGCTGCAGCCCAGCAGCAGCAGCAGCTGCTGCGGGGCGGATGGAGATGCACAAAGCAGCAGAGACGGGCCCCTGCTGCAGCTGCTTCTCCTGCTGCTGCTGCTGCTGCTGCTGCTGCTGCTGTTGCTGCTGCTGCCCCTGCTCTTGCTGCTGCCCCTGCTGCTGCACCTGCTCTTGCTGCTGCCCCTGCTGCTGCCCTTCGACTAAATTGGCAGGCCGTGAAAGAACGTCGCGCGGCTGGCTCAGCTCCTTCCCCTGCTGCTGCTGCTGCTGCCCCTGCTGCTGCTGCTGCTGCTGCTGCTGCTGCAGTGTTGTTCTGCCACAGAGGAGCCTCGGCTGCTGCCCCTTTAGCTGCACTGCTGCTGCTAAGCCGTACGGCTCGGGCGCGACTTCGGCGAGCGGTGGCAGCAGCTGCATGCAGCAGCAAGTGCTGCTGCTGCTGCTGCTGCTGCTGCTGCTGCTGATGCTGCTGTCGGGCTGGTGAAACACGAGAGACAACTGGGGCCCCCCGCTGCCCTGTGGGGGCCCCTTCTGGCTGCTGCTCGGTGTGGGGCCCCCAGGGGCTGCTGCCCCACACTTCAGGGCCTCTGCATGCAGCAGCAGCAGCTCGCAGCTCTCTAGGGGCCCCCGGGGCCCCTGGGGCCCCGGGGGCCCCAAAGGGTCTTTTTCTGCTGCTGCGGGGGGCTGGCTGGGCGCTTCTGCTGCAGCAGGCTGGCCTGCTGCTGCTGCAGCAGGCTGGCCTGCTGCTGCTGCAGCAGGCTGGCCTGCTGCTGCTGCAGCAGGCTGCTCAGCTGCAGCAGCAGCAGCCACCGAGAACACTGCAGCCACTATAGGTTCCCGGGGCTGCCACCACCTGTGCTGCTGCTGCTGCTGCTGCTGCTGCTGCTGCTGCTGCTGCTGCTGCTGCAGATCTAGTACCCAGTATAGCTCCGTGCAGTCATCTCTAAGACACAAAAAATTGTCCCCTGCAGCAAAATGCATGCAACTCAGCTTGGGGGGCCCCCCTGAGGCCTCCCGGGGGCCCCCTCCCCCACAGCTAGGGCACAAGTGGGGGCCCCCTTGGGGCCCCCCCGGGGGGCCCCCTTGGGGCCCCCGTTGGGGCCCCCCTTGGGGGCCCCCCGGGGGCTCCTCCTGAGCCTGGGGGCCCCCTTGGGGGCCCCCCGGGGGCCCCTCCTGGCGCCCCCCATTGGAGCCCTCTTGGGGGCCCCCATGTTGAAGCTGCCATTTAGGCGGCAAGCAGCAACAGGAAGTCTTGTGAGAACATCAATTATAAATATGCAAATGTGTCTCCTTTTGCTGCTGCAGCAAGCGCTAGTTTGGGTCCCGCTGCTGCTCGCTGCTGCTGCTGCTGCTGCTGCTGCTGCTGCTGCTGCTGCGAAGGGGGCCTCGCTGCTGCTGCTGCTGGGCTCCAGTGCCGCAGCAGCAGCATCGCTGGGGGGCCCCCTCAGGGGGGCCCCCGGGGGCCCCTTAAGCCGCCGCCGTTTAGCGCTGTGGCGGCCGTCTGCCGTGTCCCACTGCTCGCTGCTGCTGCTGCTGCTGCTGCTGCTGCTGCTGCTGCTGCTGCTGCTGCTGCTGCACCAGCAGCCGCAGGTGGGGCAGCCTTCCAGCACGCACGCAACAGCAACTGCTGCTCCCCCCTCAGCAGCAGCAAACACATCTGGGGACTGCAGCCGCTGCTGCAGCAGCTGCATCAGCCTTTGCATGCGCGGGGGGCCCCCCGTGGCCCCTTCGGGGGGCCCCCGGGGGCCCCCCTGAGGGTCCCACCCCGCAGCAGCCCCAGGGGGGCCCCCAGGAGGGTCCGCAGCAGAGCTCAAGGGGGGGCCCCCAGGGGGCCCCCAGTGTCTAGGGGCCCCCTGCGGCCCCCTAGGGGGGCCCCCCGGGGGGCCCCCCAGGGGGCCCCCAGGGGGGGCCCCCGGGGGGCCCCCTAGGGGGCCCCCTCGGGGGCCCCGTTCTTCACCATGTAGGTTCACTAGGGGCTCGTCAAATGAGGGAATTAAATTCAAATAAGGAAAGCGACAAAGATAAAGGAACTGCTGCGACATGTTTGGGGTGTACGTACACCTCAAGACAGCAGAAAGAATTGAGGGGGCCCCTAGAGGCGGGGCCTCCTGCAGGCGGAGGGCTTCCTGGATCTGCTGAGCGTTTAGGGTTTAGGGTTTAGGGTTTAGGGTTTAGGGTTTAGGGTTTAGGGTTTGGGGGTGTGGGAGCAGTCTTCTCCTCTGCGACCGAGCTGGGGCCCCAGCTATAAACACTTGTGTGCACTTATGTCCATTTTCACTTTCATTTCTAATTCATTTTTATATTTAATTCTACAAATATTCTTTTCTTATTCTCCCACCCTTGCGCAGCTGTGGCTGGGGCCCCCTCGGGGCCCCCTCGAGGGGCCCCAGGGGCCCTTGGGGGCCCCTGGGGGCCCCCTGGGGGCCCCCGGGGGCCCCCTGGGGGCCCCCAGGACCTCATGCCTTATGTTATGCACACAAATGCCTTCTTACGGGGCCCCCAAGGTGCTGCTGCACGACTTTTCGTGCATTTTCTGCCAAACCCTGGGGCCCCCCGGGAGGCCTAGTGAACCCTGGGGCCCCTAGCCGGGCCCCCAGCCCTGGGGGCCCCCCCGCACCAAAGTGCTGCTGCCTGCTGGGGGGCCCCACCCATACTTCGCGCAGCCTCAGGGGGGCCCCCAAAAGCTCCCGGGGGGCCCCCAAAGGCTCCCCGGGGGCCCCCAAGAACTCCCTGGGGGCCCCCAAGAACTCCCTGGGGGCCCCCAAGAACTCCCTGGGGGCCCCCAAAAGCTCATGGGGGGCCCCCAAAAGCTCATAGGGGGCCCCCATGCCCCCAAAAGCTCCTGGGGGGCCCCCAAAAGCCATTAGGGGGCCCACAAAAGCTAGGTGTCTGTTGTTGCTGCTGCTGCTGTTGCTGTCACTGCTGCTGCTGCTCCTGCTGCTCCTGCTGCAGTACCTAGTGCTGCAGCAGAGTGCTGCTCGTCCCACGTTGTTGCTGCTGCTGCTGCAATCAGCAGCAGCCGGTGACTACTTCTGTTGCTGCTGCTGAAGTTGCTGCGCGTGCTGATGCTGCTTTGCTGCAGCAAGGGTTTGAAGCTGCTGCTGCTGCTGCTGCCACTACTGCTGCTTCTGGTGCTGCTACTGCGGCTACTGCTGCTGCTGCTGGCACTCCGACTGCGGCTGCTGCTGCTGCCGCTGCTGCTGCTGCTGCTGACAATGGGCGCAGCGCTGCGCTGCACTCTTTTCATTTGCTGCAGGAGAGCCGCAGCAGCTCGCTGGCCTCTAGAGGAAGCTAAACCCTAAACCCTAAACCCTAAACCCTAAACCCTAGGCTGTCGAAGCACTTTGGGCAGCTGCCCGCTAAAGCTGCTTTTGCTGTTCTCTTTTTCACAGCAGCAAAAAGCCAAGTTCAGGGGGCGCTGCTTTGCACCTCTAAACCCTAAACCCTAAACCCTAAACCCTAAACCCTAGGCCCTGGCGTTTGACTGAAGAACAAGTTCTTCTTTTCGAAGAACGCCGAAGGCCCCCACGTCTTTTAGGGTTTAGGGTCTGGGGGATGCAGCAGCTGCCGCTTCAAGTTGCAAACCCTAAACCCTAAACCCTAAACCCTAAACCATCGAATGGAGGTTTTGGCCTTCTGGCTGCGGAGCAACTGGGGCCTCAGCTGCTGCGGGGTTTGCTGCAGGGGCCCCCTGAACAGCAACAGCATGCGGCGGAGCTGCTGCTGTCACCCGCAGGCGCTCGCTGCAGCAGCAGCAGCAGCAGCAGCAGCAGCAGCAGCAGCAGACGCAGCAGACACAGGAGAAACGCCAGCGCATGCGAAACCCGAGATGTAACAGCAATAACAGCAATAGCAGCAGCAGCAGCACAAGCAGCAGCAGCAGCAACAGCAGCAAGAGCAGCACAAGCAGCAGCAGCAGCAACAGCAGCAGCAACAGCAGCTGCTAAACACGCCATCAACACTAGCTGCTTCCCAGTGTGGCCCGTATGCTCTGGAAGACCCCAAGCCCTAAACCCTAAACCCTAAACCCTAAACCCTTGAAACCCTGACCTCTGTCGCCTAATTCCTAACCTCTAAACCCCAATTGCTAAACCTTAGTCCCTAAACCCTAACCCTAAACCCTTATCCCTAAACCTTAATCCTCAAACCCTAAACCCTAAACCCTAAACCCTAAACCCTCAACACGGACATGATTTGTTTGCGGTGCTCCTGAGTAAGGCGGGAAGAGGTGGAGTAGCCCATGCGGTTTGTCAGCCGCTCCGTAGACAACCTGACAGCAGCAGCAGCAGCAGCAGCAGCAGCAGCAGCAGCAGCAGCAGCAGCAGGAGTGTTCACGCGGCTTCAAGGAGTGCTGTGCAGGCCTTTTGCTGCAACCCTGGCGCTCCAACCCGAGCTACGGCGCTAGCATCAGCAGCAGCAGCAGCAGCAAGACCAGCAGCAGCAGCAGCAGCAGGGCCAGCAGCAGCAGCAGCAGCAGGAACAGCAGCAGTAGGACCAGCAGGAGCAGGACCCGCAGGACCAGCAGCAGCAGGACCCGCAGGACCGGCAGCACCAGCAGCAGCAAGACCAGAAGCAGCAGCAAGTCCAGCAGCACCAGCAGGACCAATAGCAGCAGCAGCAGCAGCAGCAGCAGCAGCAAAAGCAGCTGTAGCAGCAGCAGCAGCCGCAGCAGCAGCAGCACTTGCAGCAGCTGGATGCCCTCTGGCCTGAACGCCGCTGCGTCTGGAGCTTCTCGCGCAGGGCCCTGCGGGCTTCGGGTTCGCGACGAGGGTCCAGGGTCTAGGGTTTAGGGTTTAGGGTTTAGGGTTTAGGGTTTACCTTCCTCTGGAAGCAAGGGCAATGCTGCGGCTCTCCTGCAGCAAATCAACTTCTCGCTTTCCAGTTTGCGGCAAACGGCTGTAAGGCAGCAGCAGCAGCAAAGCCCCCACAACCACCGACCCCACCCCCAGCAGCACGCAGATGAGCCACTGCAGCGCGGTTATTCCCTGCAGCGCAGCAGCAGCAGCAGCAGCAGCAGCAGCAGCAGCAGCAAACCCTAAACCCTAAACCCTAAACCCGCGGCCGCGGGCGCAGCAGCGCCTGCAGCTTCGCTGCGCGGCGCTCTGCCGCGCGCGAAGCCGCCCCAAACCCCAACCCCAACCCCCAAACCCCAAACCCCAAACCCTAAACCCTAAACCCTAAACCCTAAACCCTCACGCCGAAGGTGCAGGACATAGGCAGCCCCCCCAACTCCACCACGAGGACTTGGAAGCAGCAAATGAATAAAACAATTCCCAAAAACATTTGGGACTTTCCTAAACCCTTGAAGACATTGAGGGAAGAGCCGGAGCGCCGCACGTTGAACATGTTTCCCAGCTGCCCGCACGCAAAACCCTAAACCCTAAACCCTAAACCCTAAACCCTAAACCCTAAACCCTACGCGCCGCACTGGCCGGCGGCCCGCACGAGCGGCCGCTGCAGCGCCTGCTGCTGCTGCTGCTGCTGCTCGTGCTGCTGCCACGGATTGTGCCACTGCTGCTGCCTGTGCTTCCACTGCTGCTATCTTTGCTGCTGCTGCTGCTGCTGCTGCTGTGTTTGCTGCTGCTGCTGCTATCGTTGCTGCTGCTGCTGCCGCTATCACTGCCGCCGCTGCAGTCACTGCTGCTGCCTCTGCCTCGCCGCTTCGCCCCCTGCTCCCGCTACCCCTGCTGCTGCTCCCGCTGCTCCCGCTGCTGCTGCTGCTGCTGCTGCTGCTGCTGCTGCTGCTGCTGCTGCTGCTTGCCTGCATAAAGACGAATGCGTTGAAGATGAGAGTGTAATGGCGAGAAGGTCCAATTGTGACTCTCCAGGAATTCTTATAATCCTCATTTGAAGAAAAAGGATAAAAGCGGCGGCCAGAACGCAAAATGTGCGGAGAGGCGCTGTCGCAGTCTGCGCAAACCCTAAACCCTAAACCCTAAACCCTAAACCCTAAACCCCAAACCCTACGCCCTGAATAAAGCCCTAAACCCTATAATCCTCATTTGAAGAAAAAGGATAAAAACGCCGCCCAGAACGCAGAATGTGCGGAGAGGCGCTGTCGCAGTCTGCGCAAACCCTAAACCCTAAACCCTAAACCCTAAACCCTAAACCCTAAACCCTACTTCCTAAACCGTGAGGTCTAGGCAGCAAGCGGCGCCCACGCAGAAGGCGTCCAGCGGGCCTGCTGCTGCTCCCGCTTGTATAAGAGTCCCTCGCCCCCTTGGCGCCAGAAATTAGGGTTTAGGGTTTAGGGTTTAGGGTTTAGGGTTTAGCGTGGAGAGTCTGCGACTTAGTCATAGGGTTCAGGGTTTAGGGCTGAATGCTGAGGTGTGAGGGTTTGGGGCTTCTGCTGAAGGGCGTCGCGCTGAACTGCGCGGTAGACCCAGGGTTTAGGGTTTAGGGTTTAGGGTTTAGGGTTTGGGACTTGCCGCTGAATTCGCAAAACCCCGGAAACATTTCGCGGGTTTCTTCAGAAACATGACTCCACTTTTCTTCAGGCATAAATTTGTCTCCGGCAAAAATCAAAACAAACAAAACCACCAGTTGGTAGAGGGCCTGGCCCAGGATGTTGCGGCACATTTTCTGCGCCACAAACCCTAAACCCTAAACCCTAAACCCTAAACCCTAAACCCTAAACCCTAAAGCCTAAGCCCTAGGCCCCGGCCCAGCGGGTGGGCGGCGGCTAGCTGGAGCCCCGGGGCGCAGCAGCAGCAGCAGCAAGGCAGCACAAGCAGCAAGGCAGCAGCAGCAGCTGCAACAGCAGCAGCAGCAGCAGCACAGCAGCAGCAGCAGCAGCACGGCAGCACACGCAGTGAGGCAGCAGCAGCAGCAGTAGCAGCAGCAGCAGCATCAACAGCAGCGGTGACAGGGCAGCGCGCTGCCGCGAAAACTACGGCTCCGCGTTCCGCGCTCCGGGTTAAGGGTTTAGGGTTTAGGGTTTAGGGTTTAGGGTTTGCCTTTGTGACGAGGTATTCGTTTTTGGTGTGGGGTTTGCGCCGCAGCAACTCTTCTGAGGGAGGCTCCGTGGCCAAAGCCAAAGAAGCCAAAGAGTCCATAATTAAATTGACCCACAGCATTTGAACCGCGCTCAAAGGGCTTTCCCGCACAGCCACCGCTGCAGCAAACCCTAAACCCTAAACCCTAAACCCTAAATCAGGGTTTCGCCCGCTGCGCGCCCACACGGCCCTTTCGCGCGCGCGACGCGCGCGCAGACCCGTGCGCGGTCCTCCCCAAACCCTCAAAACCCAAACCCTGAACCCTAAACCCCAAACCCTAAACCCTAAACCCTAAACCCTAAATCAGGGTTTTGACCGCTGCGCGCTCAAACCGCCCTTTCGCGCGCTCTTAGCGTGCGCACAGCAGCCTGCGGCGCTCCCCAACCCCCAAACCCCAACCCCCAACCCCCAAACCCTAAACCCTAAACCGCAAACCCTAAACCCTAAACCCTAAACCCTAAACCCTCACCGCAAACGAGGGAAGTGACGACTGCCACGACGTTGACGGTGAGTTGAAACTCCAAAAACTTTTGAATGTTTGCATAAATGCTGCGGCCCCACTTGACAGCAGAAACTAAACTTTCGAAGTTGTCATCCAGCAGCACAATATCTGCTGCTTGCTTCGCCACCTCCTTCCCTGCGCGCAAACCCTAAACCCTAAACCCTAAACCCTAAACCCTAAACCCCAGACCCTGGCGGGCCTGCGCGCTGCAGGCTCTGCCGCCCTCCTGCGTCTGCGTCGGCCACAAACCCTAAACCCTAAACCCTAAAACCTAAACCCTAAACCCTAGTGGCCCTAGGCGTTGCAGGCTGTGCTGCCTTTGTGCGTCTGCGTCGGCCACAAACCCTAAACCCTAAACCCTAGCCCGTGGGACTCTATGTCCGAAACCCCGTTGCCTCCCAAACCCTAAACCCTAAGATTGGCGCCCAAGGCAAACAGGCAGAGCGGGGAACGCTTTAGGGTTTAGGGTTTAGGGTTTAGGGTTTGTGCTAGAGCAGCTGCGCAGCAAGTATCAGGGTTTAGGGTTTAGGGTTTAGGGTTTGTACCTGTAACCCATATAGCGAATCCCACACCTGCAGTCTGTTAAGTCTGTTTTAGTGTTTAGGGTTTACAACCGCTGATTCAGAGACCAAATGCGCCGTCTCCACCCCGCGCATCAACTGTTAGGGTTTAGGGTTTAGGGTTTAGGGTTTAGGGTTTAGGGTTTGACCTGTGCCCCCCATGGCGAAGCCCACGTCTGCAGTGTGTAGACCCGCTATTAGGGTTTAAACCTTGCAGCCGCGCAAGCCCCACCGGCCGCGCAGCGCCTCCCTCCCTCTGTCCAACACTAGGGTTTAGGGTTTAGGGTTTAGGGTTTAGGGTTTAGGGTTTAGGGTTTGACCTGTGACCCCCATGGCGAAGCCCACGTCCGCAGTCTTCAGCGCAGGCGCGTCGTTGGCCCCGTCGCCAGTCACTGCCACGACGGCCCCCAACTGCTGCAGCCCCAAAACGAGGGCGAACTTGTCTAGGGGCTGGGACCTGGCCAGGACCTCGAGCCTGGGCGCAAAC